CCCGCCATGCCGCGCGCCCTGCCGAGCCCAGCCAGCGAGAGCTCCTGCTCTGAGGAACAGCGCTGTCACGGATGCATCAGTGGGCAGAGCTGCTGCACACGCCACGAGCTTCGTAATAAACATGCAGGGACAGTGCCTGCTCTGCTCTTCACGACAGGAATACTGCAGTGAAACAGAACTTGTCCTGTAATAATTCATCACCATTCAGAGCAGCAGGAGCTTCACAGATGTTTTCCTCTTGCTCAAGAGTTTCAATACAAATAAGGTCCCCATGAAAACCATAAAGATTGTTTACCTGTGCAATTGCCTTAAACATGTGCTTCTAGGCATGTTTTAGAACACTTAACACTGCTTCGTACCTTGGCGTGTCATATACACAAACAATTTCCATTAACATTTTGAGTAGGCACTGTTTTGCCTCTGGCATTTATGCACCTGCATTATAAACCACTCCAAACCGAAGCCAGTGTTTACTGGGCCACAACTCCCTGTGGACAGGTGTAGTTTGATGACTACTTAGCTTTGCAATGGAAACTTCATCAGCTGTGCAGCTCCTCAGTTAACATCTGAAAGACATTGCCACCACCCTCCCCACTCAGAACTGGCATGCAGTCCCTCAGCACTGAGCAGCATCATCAGACACCTTTAACATCAAACCTCAGTTTCACTGCAAAGTATGGAAGACCAGCTAACTGCCACTGTCCTGAAGTCCTACATAGAACTTTCCATATGCATTCAGACTCGTGAAGCTGGAGTGAGTAAAACCATCTCCTCTGGCAAAAATCCAAGAAAGAAAGAAGAGCAGAAAGAAGGACAGAGTCCATCTTCCCCCTTTCCTTTTTCATTAAATTGGAGAGACTTGGATTCGATGGGCAGACCACTCAGTGGATAAAGAACTGGGTGGAAGGTTACATGCAGAGAGTTGTCAGCAGTAGCTCATTGTCCACGTGGAATCCAGTGACGAGTGGTGTCTCTCAGGGGTCGGTGCTGGGGCCGATACTGTTCAACGTCTTTGTTGTTAACATGGACAGTGGATTGAGTGCACCCTCAGCAAGTTCACTGACCACACCAAGCTGTGTGGGGCAGTCACAGGTGGAAGGAAGGCATGTGCCATCCAAAGTGACCTTAACAGACTGGAGAGGTGGAACAATGCAAACCTCATGAAATTTAAGAAAATGAAGTGCAAGGTCCTACATCTGGGCCTTGGCAATCCCAGGCACAGCTACAGGTTGTGTGGGGAAGGAACTGAAACCAGCAGAGGAGAAAGGCTTGGGAGTGACAGTGGATGAGAAGCTCACCATGAGCCGACAGTGTGCGCTAGCAGCCCAGGAAGCCAGTCATATCCTGGGCTGCATCCAAAGGAGTGTGGACAGGAGGTCAAAAGAGGTGATTCTTCCCCTCTACTCTGCTCTCATGAGACCCCACCTGGAATACTGCACACAGTTCTGGTGTCCTCAACATAAGAAAGACATGGAACTGTTAGAGCAAGTCCAGAGGAGACCACAAAGTTGGTAAGAGGACTGGAGCATCTCCCCTATGAAGACAGGCTGAGGAAGCTGGGGCTGTTCAGCCTGGAGAAGACAGCGTGGAGACCTCATAGCAACTTCTCAATATCTGAAGGGCCTACAAGGGAGCCAGAGGGACATGGTGGCTGCCCCAACCCTGGCAGTATTCAAGGCCAGGCTGGATGAGGCCTTGTGCAACCTGATCTAGTGAGGAGGTGTAGGATAGGACTAGATGATCTGCAAGGTCCATTCCAACCCTTAAATTCTATGGTTCTATGATTCATAGTCACAAATCACAAGGCTGAGTTCACCTAACCAAGCCGTGTAACAAAACCTAAAGGAAATACCTTTGGAATAAAGCACATACCTATGGACTTGACCATGTAGAAGGTGACAGAATGGCTGTTGATTTTCCCACACATAATCAGAGATTCTCTTTTAGTAAACAAATCTGCAGACACACAATTTCTTGTACCTGAATTATTCATGATTCCTTCCCAAATTCTCATACAGAACCTTGCAAAATTTGTCAGCAATGTTGGCTACACTGCAGTACTTAGGATCAAGTACTAGGATAACATCAGGATATTTCATATAAAAATTTCAATGGGAAAAAACAGCTATGAAAGCACACATTTCTGAAAGCCTTTAATAGAGCACCTGTAACTGAAGACTGAGAACAGCAGATTAATTACTGACAAGTTTCTAACTACGTAAGCTCAGAAAAAAAATTTTTAAAAGTTGAGGTATCTGGTAACAAAGCATTTTGCACCAAAATGACATATGGCTTAACAGCGACACACTAGGCAATTACTTATTTTCACAGTACACTTAACAGGAAAAGTGATTTTGTTTAAGAAAAATTGTGATGATTCTCTTTCTACAAATGCCTAAAAAAATGGATGTGAAGAATGGAAGAATATTCTTCAGAAGTTTTTAGTTTGTGCACATGCTCACACCTTTTTTAACCTATAATCATATAAGATCTTTACAAATCACAGCTGACTTAGGAAACTACATTGACTAGACCTTCTTCAGAGCAAAACTCCAATAATATTAATAGGATTTCAACCTACAGTGAAATGTTCCACACTGTTATGCAGTATCACCCACATATTAATTCCCAGGGTGTCTTGGTCTATAAGAGAGTCTACGTTCTGAAGAGGTTTCCATCTTGCCTACACAACATGGAAATAAAGGCAACTTCCTATGTACTGAAGAGTGTTTCCTTGGATGAAAAGAAGCAACACATGCAAAGGTAGCCTGGAACAAGAAGCATTTATTTTAAGATTTTCTGTTAACCTTTACAGTTAGATAAAACCTGATCAGTGCTCTCAGTCCCTCACACTCAACACAAAGCCTACTGTTAACTTTTTCCCAGCCCTGAAAAATAAATTAATTCCAGGCTTTGATCAAAGAATACAACAGGCAACTGAGCAGAGTCTTCACCTTATCTGAAAGCCCAAAGGGAAGGCTTTAAAAATTCATTAGAAATACTTGAGCATTCAAATTCACATTCTCTCTTTGCAATTCACTACAAGTAAAGGTCTACCAAAATATGACTTGGTTCAGTTCTAGCTTACTCTCTACTAACACAAACAGGCTGGATGAAGCTAACCAGCTGGCTCTAGAAACCATGTCTGAAACAACCTGACCTTCCTTAAGCATAAATACAGAGATTATCAGAGGCTTCCTCCTCTTCACAATTATCTTGTACTGTATATTGCAACTGGAATACCATTCAGGGTGCATGGAATGTAAATCAAAAGGCAGTTTTAGGACTTCTGTGAAGATAAAGAGGACTTCAACCTTCAGAGAAGTATTTTCCATGGCTAGTTTTATTTTCAATTACACCATAATCAAGAATTGGCAACTATTATCTCAAAAGCTATGAAAGCAGGATTTCAACCCAGCAACAAATTTAGGATCACCTCTATATTCAGTTACAAGTCACTGTCCTATAGAGACACCCTCTAGAATGCTTAATGTTAGCAAGCCTCACTATACATCCTCAAGGTATGCTGTATTTCAAATATCACTGGAATTTTGTCTAAGAGACTCATCAAAGAACTAAGACATTTATATACTTAACCACAATTTTGGTTCTACTGGTATCAGTTACTATCAGAAGCAGCAGCTTGTTTCTCAATACAGGAAAGTGATGGCAAATGTGAGCAGGAAGAATGGAATACACAAGTGTGTGGCATGAAGTGCATGGCTTAGCAGAATCTTGTTTGGTTGTTTTGGTTTCTGTTTTTAATAATCTTTTAAAGTGCTTTCTGTGATCCACCACCAAAACAGGCCTGTGTAAAGACTGGCGCTAGCATGGTTGATATCACAAGAATACAAAAGTTAAGCATACACAATCAAGCATTGACTTGAATATCTTAAAAAAAGCCAAGGCCCCTACATTTAGAGACAGATTAGAAATGTTTCTACACCTCTTATAATACAACCCAAGAACATGTTACACTCAGATTATGAGAACCAGTCTGTTCTGATACAACTTACTAAGTGACAAAGCCCACAGCAAAGCCATTGCTTTACCTCCATAATGTAAACACACCTCAAAGAAGAATATGCTAGCAGCTTCACGGATGAGATCATAAATCAGTAAAACCAAACCAACTGGTCATATCAACCTTTTGTTTCTACAAGGCTTAGCTCACAAGCTCAGGCTGTACATTTATTCTTTGAAGGACATCTTCTGGCATACAAAAGACAGGATTGACGGCCTTAATTTGTTCTTCTCCTAATAAAGATAGTCCAGCAATTCCAAATAAGGTGTGAAATGGATCCACCTGGGAGAAGAAAGAAAGTTTGTGTCCGTTTCCAAAAGTCAATCAGTTTTACACTCGTATGGAATAAAGCTTTTGGTTGCCAGCAAGAGAACTGCAAATCTCCATAGCTGGAGAGACGAGACAATTTCCACAGCATGCATTTACAGAACTGTGATTTACTCAGAGCTGCTTGGCAATTAGCTGCTGCTGAGACAAGTTTCCAGCTCTGAGTTAGACAGGAAGCATTCCCATGTGTCCATTAACATGCAGTATCACAGGGTGGCAGAAGCAAAGACAAGTAAAATACTAAAAGTAAATTGGATCATCTACAGGTATCACTTCCATAAATTCCCTGTTTGCTCTTCAGCAACATCATAGTGCTCTTTAATGGTCTCCACATTCAGAGCTGCATTATAAAACCCTGAGAGGGAAGCAGCAACCTACATTGCTAGAAAACCTCCCCAAACTACAAATAAAATTTACAAAAAACCCCAAACCTCCACTCCCAAAACCACAATACTCCCCCAAACCCCAAAAACATACACCTCAAACAGAAAAGCCCCCAAATTAACAGTGTCTGTTAGGAATGAGTTGCTGCAGGAACAAAGCACAAACCTGTAGGCAGCACTTCTACAGAAGTGCCCAATTCAGCACTGGAGGAGAGGTAAAAATAACATGAAATGACCACTAACATAACATGCAGAAACTCTCCCAAAGATGCCTGCATTAGATATAGGGAAAAGGCTCTGCAAACCTGCTCTTCCAGAAAACACAAATAGTTCAATAGCTCAAATTGAATCTCAAAGCCAGAAAAGCATTTAGACTAAGTGCTGGGCTTCTCCCAGGGAATTCTGAACAGGGAAAAAGCCTTTCTGTGAGCTCCTTAGAAACACAAAACCCTTCCTATTGTAAGAACACAAAACTCTCTCCAAATGACAGACCAGAGTAAATAGATTTCTCCCCTAACTGGGAATAAAGTACCAGCTTGCAAAGAAATAGGAAGCTACTTTGTTAGTTAATGCACTTGTGGAGAACAGAGTAGACATGGGCAGCTGCAATAAAAACAGCTAAGACTTTTCCAGACCACTAACAAATAAGCAGCCAAGTATTCTATATGAATTGCAATGAAGTCTCATAATACTTTTTATCTGTCCAGCACCCCTGAAAGATATGAACTTTATTTGCCATTTTACCTGGACAATCTCAATTGCCTCCACTTGAAACCAAAGAGAACAGACTAGCTAAACAGTAATTGCTCTCTCAACCAAGCAGAAAAATACACACCACCAATCAGCCTATTCATCATGCTATCACAAAAGCTTCCTTCTCCCTCATCTAGACAAAAGCCAGTAAGGGGATTTATTCAGTGACTGACATAGAGCAAAAGTTAGAGTACAAGGATTCTTTATAGACACTTAGGACTCCTTTAGATCAGGCAAAACCACCAAGAGATCTCAAGACTACTTAACCTGCACCAGACTTCAGCTTGCATATCATATCTCAAAACAAAATAATAGCTCCCCATACATCCCCAAAACCCCTGAGATCAAACACAGTGTTCTTACACAGATTTTCCAAATGGTCTTGTGAGAAATGATTTGTGTTACAGGAACCAGACCAGAATTTTAAGGAATGGCAGCTGACTTCTGTGGGAGACACCACAATGTGATGTACAGTATGTGCTCCTCAAATAGGCCTTCACAGGCACTGCTACCCTATTCTACCTTCAAAGCAAACTGCAGGCTCTTCAAAACACACCTGGATCATCAGCTGGGTCACACTCAAGCAAGAGGTCTTACTTTACCAGTCGAAATTTTCAATTATGTAGATTCTTAGAACAATATTACTCACCATATCTCCTGGTCTGTCAGCAAATCCTCCAGTCTCTTCATCCTGGCAAGCCAAAATAAAGGAACGCAGTTTCTCTCTGTCAATCCAGTGTATCCTGCCAATCATCTTCAGAGATGCTAGCACCCACCATGAATAACATACATCAGGTAACTGGCAAACACAGAAGCAGATTAATACTTTTGTTTTAAACATAACATTGCAAATGTTATTGTTAATTCTGCAAATTACCAAATATGCTATCATAATACTGTTGCAGAGAAATAACATTTCAGAGCATCTTTGAAGTGAAAGAGTTTCTGGATGCAGTCCCCTTTTCAGAGGACTTCCCTTTCAGGAAGCAAAGTCTCTTTTTCAAGCCTATTCCCTTCTTTAAGCAACAGGACTACAAAAATGTGATTTTTAAAGAGACTTCACCTTCTGTGGGAGAGGCTAAAAACCACACCGCCTTTTTCCGGAGCAAGTACAAAGCACTTCATATCAACTAGTTGCATTTCAGTTGGGGGGAGGGAAGGTGTGTGGATGTGTTGGTCGATTAGAAGAGATTATTCTAGGTTACACGATTTCCTAATGTGATGTGGAACACTATTACACTCAGGATTTGCATCCAGTAAAACAGTATTTTTGTACAAATCCTATAGAAAAGATAGTTCCCAAAGTCAGAAGATACTCAAGAGCTAATTTAACGGGATTCAAGTGGTTCAAGTGGTCAGCATGACACACTTCAGTATGTGTCTTGTGTCATACTGAGGACTCAAACCAAGCCCAGCTAAGGACTGCATGGCAAGTGTTACTGACAAAATGAAGAACGAAAATCAAGGCCTGACTTCTTTGAAAAGTTTACCAAATACTTCATAGAAGTTGTGACATTTTCCAGAAGTACTTCAGCTTTAGACAAAACAACCTCTACCGAGGTTTGAGCAAAGAAAAGAAGCCACCCAGTACCTTCTCTGGTCGCCCGTTGAGACCTCCAGAAGGTAATTGACGTTCACAAAGCCACCAACCCAGCAAGTCAACATTCACTTGATGCAACTGGTCTGTGATGGCCAGAAATCCTGTGCAACAATAGATCTAAAATTACAGACATAAATTTTTTGTATATTAAAAAAACTACATATAGTTTAGCAGACTAAATGCAGGAAGCTCTAAAAGCAGCAATATAGTAATGTAAACAATGCAAAATGAGAACACATTTCAACTTGCAGTGTCAGTGAGTTTTACATTTCCATTAGAGAAGCATGTTATTGTTACAGGTGCTTTTGTAAGAAAGCACCAGTAACACAATGTACTTACACAGCAGTAAGATTTCACTAATATAACACACTAATGCAAGCTTTGGAAAATGATCCTGAATATCTGACAGAACCATACAGTTCTATTTTAAAAACACACACCCTCAAGCCACAGTACTCAAACTCATTTCTGCAGGCTGGATATGGCCTTTATGAAAACTCTGCATCCAGCCTATGGTTTGTTGCTACTTGCCTCTTACCATAACACTTGCAGACAGCAAACTAAAGACCAAATGAATACCCCAACAGAAACAGGCTAACCCTGATTATTAACTCTCCTGGCAATTCCACTTGCATTCAGTCATGTCAGGCTTACTTTGAAAGTGCCAATCTGCATTGATTAATCTCCATTTATGTTTTTCCTGGGAAGTAACATTTACAGTGCAACAGCAAACTCCAGTCATATTTCATGTGGTCACTAAGAAAGCAGCGAAGCACAAATGTCATAGAATCATGAAGGCTGGAAAAGACCTCTAAAATCATCAAGTCTAACCTTTGACCTAATACCACCATGTCCACTAAACCATATCAAGAATCACAGAATCAACCAGGTTGGAAGAGACATCCAAGATCATCAAGTCCAGCCCTACCGTGGTTACTAGACCATGGTGCTAACTGCCACATCCAGTCTCATCTTGAAAACCTCCAAGGATGGTGAATCCAACACCTCCCCGGGCAGCCCATTCCAATGCCTGAGCACTCTCTTGTGGGAGAATTTCTGATTGGTAACGGACATGTGAGCAATCCAGCCTTGCTAGCAGGGCCTGAGCAGGCTGCAAGCTAAGTTGGTCAAAGATGCAGCTGTGGTTGGAATGTGAGAAAGAAGGTAGTGAGATAAACAATTCCTGGGTGTGGAATGCAGAAGTTGAAGATAGTTAGGGGTGGAGAATAACGATTAGGCATTTTATGATCAATATGTTAATAACCAATTGTATTGTGTGTAAGGTGGGCTAGTAGTAGTAGTTAACTAAGTAGACGACCCTACAGCATAAATATGTGTATCTTTCACAATAAAGCGGTGCAACAGTCGTAACCGTATTGGTATTTGTTGTACCTCGGCAGCTGACTCCGGCTTCGGGATCCCTCAACACTCTCTCTGTTAAAAAATCTCTTCCCAATATCCAAC